CTGCTTCTAGTTGTGTGATACTTTTGTTCTGCAGATTTTTATTTATCGTACTATATATTCTTGATGAACGGATCATTTCCTTATGAATAGATGTTGAATATTATGTGGATGAATCCATGAATAGTAGCGCAAAGTAAGCGCGTAACGAGATCTGAATAGACTGAAATTTTTGGAGGAAAGCAAGAAGAACTTGGGATGCTCCATTTATATGGATGCGTGAAGCCTGTGTGGGCAACCTATGGACTAATTTCTGATGGCATTTCCATTGACATTATACCATTGGAACGATTGGCAAATGTTGTGTGACCCGCTATTACCATGACAAGTGGGTTGTACATGCATGATATGATTGAATGCAAATAAGTCCTATTAAAATGAATATTATTGATGCTTTCTTGGCCATCTTTTGAGGTTTGATGTCAATGATGGTTTCTGTACCCAAAATTTCTTCTTTGCAAATGGAGGAGAAGGCATTGCATATAAGGTACAACTCGTTGAGAAATTATTTGTCTAGAGGAAGATGATTAATGTAGCTAAGAAGGAATCTGAATGGTCATACCTGGTGTTGTTGGATAACAAATATGAAACTATCTATTCTATTATAAATATCAACAACAACATATTCCATTCTTGCTTTTGAAAATTCTTATACAAAAAGCTTCATTATTTTATAAGGATTTCATTCTCATTCTTGTGCTACAATACTGTGTATCTTAAGTTTAAATTGATAAATCATTTGTTGTGTTTTCCTGATAGTGCATGCTATGTTAAACACTTTATCTTCATTTGGTGCAACTGTTTCTTAACCTATATTGTACATCATTTTTTGGCAATTGTAGATGTCTTTGCTCCTGCATCTAGATTTTGTATGTTGTAGAGTTGTTGATCATATTCTCTTACTTGAAATTCCTTTGTCGACAAATAATTCACTGTTGTTCCATTATTCTGATTATATCAAATGATTACTAATTTAATCGACCATGACCAGTAGTACATTGCAGTTACTTGAATGGAACAGTCTCTTTATTATTCGTAGATTGGACAGTGAGAGCATCATTTCGTAGTACCCTGTAATTTTCATTCTTCAAGTGGATGGTTGTGGTTGCTATACCTTCATGTCTAGTTTCAAGCATTAAGATGGAGTGGTTTGTCTGTCTTATAGACTTCAAAGAAGTAAATGTCCTACATGAACCATATTTCCAAATATTGAGCAGGTATGTATCATATTCAAGGTTTCATGTTTCATCTATGGTGATGTACTACATAATTGCACCAAGTGCAGTTGTTATGGATGATGCATGTTCAAAATTATTAGCATTAAGATTCTGTATTACATGTTGATGTAGGATTTATAAATTATCATTTTTGCATACCAATATGGCTAAGCATAATAAGAATCTAGGAGTACAGACCATCGTCTAGGCCAAAGCAGACATTGTGTTGGAACCATCAAATTTGATTTGATAGTGCTGTCTTATAGTTGTGACTTGAAATAAAAGAGCAACAAAAAATATACATTTTCTTTCTTCTGAAACCATTACATTAGATATTGGTGTCTGAGTCCAAGGATTTCAACCTACTCACTCGCACTCTTTTAGAATGCATATGCTTGCCTTCTCATTAGGTAAGGGTACAATTCAGGTTGGTTGGATTGGATAAGACAAAATACAACAAAGTGGTCTTTCTTCTGTAATTTTTGCCAGCCCCGGGTTTGATCCAGCATTATCATCCTGAGCTCTTGCTTCTTTATTTTCTCTGTATAATATCAGGTTTATAGTCACACTAAAAGGTCTAACTGTTGCTTGTTGGATTATTTTGAGAAAAAAATAAACCACAACTGTAAAAAAAATATAAATGGGAAGTGTGAGATCTTGCATGATTAAAGGCCCCAAAATCTATGAGATATTTGGAGATGCAGTTCTTAAAATAAAGACTAAAATTGAACCAACAAACCCCTATTTCTAGGTGAAGATTGATAAATGGGAAATATTGAGTCAATTCAGAGCCCAGAAAACTTGTAAAAGAAAATGCAACATGTGGACAATATGACATATTAGAAAATCAGTTTAAAATGTACAACAAATTCTGTTGTGCCCCATCCAAAGTGGTGCTTAGTCACTTGCCATGCTATTAACAAATCTACCTCAAGAATCTGATAAGTTATTTACACTAGGCCTCCTCAAGAAGTACAAGTGGACTGTATCCCCTCTTCATTGGATTCGGTGTCCTATAATCCATAATTTGGGTTATTCTTGCTTTGGCATATTGTCAGATGACTCAAATAGACACAATCTTGATGTCCCTCCTGTTTTGCAGGTTCCATTTTGAAGCACATTTTTTTGGAGCACCTGAGCTGAGACAACCTCGGCTTGGATAACTCTAGCTCATTGTCCACCTTAGATAAACTATCATAGCATTTCTTTAATCTGTGGCACTTTGTGTACCACACTGAGACAACCAAAAACAATGACATCAATTTGATTTGATCTCATTGAGATCCACGTGGTTGGGAAAAGCAACATCATGCAAAGTATTATAGTTTGTTCCGTACCATTCAGCACCTGCCATTAATTAGGGCTGTTTGGGGGCTTGCAAATGGATTCCATAGGGGAAAAAGCTGAGGAAAACATGTCATTAGGTCCAAGTTGGGAAAAACTTGATAAACATGTAGAGCTCGGTAAGGGGATGAGTCACTGGAGAAAGTGTGGTTCTTTGTTTTATAATGAGTACGGGATAGGTCTTTACTTTATTGCTTAGATTTCCTGGCAGAACAATGTGAGTTCAGTCTAAATTCAAGGCAGATTAGATTGATTAAGCTCAAGTGCAAAAAAGTCCAATGAAGTCCTCTTCAGAAGTCTGGTTGGTTGGATTGGCCACTCAGTTGCATGCTTATTCTCCATATTCATAATGATTGTAAGAAATTTGTGATGTTTATGCCACCACTGACACATATTATGGTCCTGCTAAAAGTGATAGCAACACTGACTGAAAACCTTAACTGAAAACAGACTCCTCCTGGCAGGCAAACAGACATCTTCACTTTGATTAGATACCTTTTTCAATCTTCACTTTGATTTAACCTTAACTGAAAACAGATGACTCCTATTTGCAGTATGAGAAATTCTTTTAACCTGTTGGCAGGCAAACTGACTTGTAATAATTTACTTTTTTGCTGCAGAAAATCGAGCAAGAAAAGTTAGCGAAGCTTGCGCATAAGGTATGGTTACCAATTCATCTCTGTTTTTTTTTTTTTACTTTTTTACTTTCACTATTGGGCACTGTTCTGTTTTGAAAGAGAGGACATGTAAGAATAAGGAGATACATGATTCCACTGTCATGACTTTTATTTTTCCCTGATGAGGTACCCGTTCTTTTAGATTTTTCTCCCAGGAAACTAAAAGATGGATAGCACCGAAGGCATTTAATATATTGTCAAATACATGATTTCCAAGTCTTTCAGCTTCAATATTATTAATGCATACTTCATGTTCCAATGAGCTACTATAGATTTTCTTGTAATCAAATAAACTATTATCTCCAGATCTTTGTCACAATGTCTAAACAAGTTTGTTTTCAGGGACCGAAACCAGGAGAGCAAACCCCAGCAAAACCAGAAACTCCAGCAGCTGATGTGAAGCCCGGCACACCTCCAGGGTCATCAACAGCTAGTGTTTCAACTGACAAGAACCGCAACTATGCCGTTCTTGCTGGGACAGTTGCAGCTGTTTGTGGTCTCGGTTGGTATCTCTTGTCCAAACCAAAGAAATCTGAAGAAGCTATCGACTGAGGCTTGTCTGTTAACCAGATGGTGAACTGACCAATTTACAGTTTCCATGTTTACCTACTTTGCACTGCACTGTTATCGATACAGAAAGAAGTAAAATGCATCTTTCTAAATAAGTTCCATTTTCTCACGAATATGTTGTGTTGTTTCTGCTTCTTTCTGTGAATTAACTATCTTTCCTTATAGTCAAGACTCGAGTTCTTAATTTTTGTTCTGATATCAGTTAGAGTAAATTTTTTTTGATAATTTATAATAAGATTTTGGATTCGAATCTCATCTACGTTTTTTATTCTTTTAAAATAAAATAAACTGGTTGTGATCTATCAGATTTAGGTTTGAAATTTTAATTGATATGTTTTTAACACCTTTATTAATCTGGTTATGATATATCAAATTCTCTTATTAAAAATTAAGAGTTCGAAATTTTATTTATTTTTTTTAAGTGTCAATTATCCTAGTCTTATCATGTCTTCGTCATTTACTTTTAAAAAAAAAATCTTTGTTCTTCCTCTATTTGGATTGTCCTGTTAATACCTTCACGGCGGCTTCCATCGTATAACCAAGCCTTCCGATCCTTATTGCATCACTGTATCACCTCTTGGGAACCGGCTAGCGGTGCCATTCGGGTCGGTGACTTTTATAATGCGATGTTAAATACTTGTTTAACATAAATAGGATTTTCTTAATGAAATGTTATTTTCTCGATTCTTAGCTGTTTAAGGTGGCAAGTACCCAGAAAAGAACGCCTGGAGCCGGCATCCCACGGCGACGCCTCCCACTTCTGTACGACTGTCACGTGAGCTGTACCGTCAGATTCGATCGGTGCGATCGTGTAATGGACGGCTAAAATGTGAGAGAAGATCAGACGGACGGTTAAGATGCCACATCTGGTTCACCGTCGTATGTAGATCCTCATCGCACGAGCATTTGGCGTGACGCCGAAGTCGCTATGAAAGGGGCATTTCGGTCATTCCATAAACTCGAAAAAGGTAACTGCCGTTTCGGAGATTCCACTGTTCCCATACACATAGGTTGCAGAATGACTCGTGTCTTCCACCCATAAAATCATGATTCTCTCACAGACTCTCCATGTGGGGCCACGAGAGTACACTTACTCCGCTAGTAACAATTCAGCTAGGCTTTGCTCGTGCGAAATTAATGTGTCGGGAAAGTATCTCTTTGATATGTGTACCCGGAGTCCTATAAAACCTCCTCTCTTAGCCGCTTTGGCTCCCCCGCCCCTACTCTCTCCCCTCGCGATCTCGCTTAATTCCAATCCTTGCCTCATCCTATCGATCCTGATCTCTTCCCTCTTCTCCGGTTCGGTCGATCGGTGCTCCAGCTGTTGTCAGGGGTTCCTCTTGATTAGGGTTTTGTCACCGTGAGCCGCGAGGATGACGCAGAGCGGGAAGTTAATGCCCAACCTCGATCAGAAGAGCACCAAAGCCTTGAACCTCACCGTCCTCCAGCGGATCGATCCCTTCGTGGAGGAGATCCTCATGACCGCCACCCACGTCACGTTCTACGAGTTCAACATCGAGCTCAATCAATGGGTGCGCCTCGATCGGAACCCACCTCTCCCTTTCTTCTTCGATCCTGTTTCCGGCTGGCCTTTGTTCAGTTTTGCGCCGTCTGATCTAGGGTTTTCATGACTTGTTTTTTATGTTTGTTCAGAGCCGGAAGGATGTCGAGGGATCGCTCTTCGTTATCAAGAGGTAACTGCGGATCTTGCTGCTAGGATGTGTCGTTGTTGATGTTATCTTTTTCCTCCGAATTTGAAGTTTCTGTGTATTGTTTTGGCTCGTCTGGTGTGTTCGCTGATGCTGGTTGAATGATTCGGTATTCTGTTACCTAGATTTGCGTTCTATCATGATTCTTTTCTTCCTGCTCTATCAAACTCTAACTTCCGTAGTTGTAGTTACTTTTTTACTTCCGATTTCAACTTAGATATTCTTATGTGAAAAGAAGCGTGCATCGGACGGTTAATTTGTTGATATGTTTTCTTTGAGTACTGACTTTGATTGAGAATCTTGATCGCTTAGGTCTGTACTAATATTGGAATGTGATAAATTATTTTGTTTCTAGTTTGCCATTTCTTGATTTCGATGGATCAGCAAATTATTACAAATGAGTGCATACTTGCAGGAATGCACAGCCAAGATTTCAGTTCATAGTCATGAACCGACGGAACACAGGTCTGAAATTAGTCTATGTTAAATTAATTTACATTTTATGGTTTGAATGTCTTTTTTTCTAGTCGGTGTTTGCAAAATATGTTGAATATTGTAGTGCTTATTATTGCTACTAGTAAGTTCAAAATTCTTGTTTTCAAAAAATAGGAGAGCCATTTTTCTAGGCTCTTGTTGAAGGTATTCTCGCACGAGGTCATCCATGGGCAATGTAGTCTGTTATTTGATCATATGAAGCTGGTTGTGGTGTTTGGATTGGTTGAGCATGTTTTTAGAACAACCTTGGTGAGCTAAATATATATTAAAGTTGAACATGATCATTCTATTTTTCAATGTCCCAAATGATCTGTTTTACAAGTCCGTTCTACAGAGTGTTGATATGCATAATTTATATTTGTCTACATCTGGCCTTGTAGAAATGGTCAACTAGATCTTGTCTTATTTCTACTAAAAAAAGTTAATTTCTCTCTCACAGCAAGCAGTGTAATTGAGTTTCTTTGTTGGACCACATTAATCTCGTTTTGTAAGTAGTTTGTTCTGATTTGCTTGATTAGTTCCACTAGTTGTGGCATGCCTTTTCTATTCTAGGCTTGAATATGTAGTTCTAGTCTCTACATTTCTTGTGCAGTGCTTTGAAGTGGAGCAATGTTACAGCCAGAAGAAAATTCACAGAGAGATTCACAGAACTAAACATTTCTGGTTGTTGTGGGGTTTGCTACTCGGCTACGTGGCTTTTTCATCAATCTTGCTTTTTGTACTATGAGCATCGTTTGTGTTTATATCAGTATTCTTTAACATAATTTTGACTTCTAAAGGCAAAATTCTTATGGGTAACTAATGTTCAATTGTACCAAAAGTCATGTGTCACTGTGCCTCCTATCTGGTTGACCTTTTCCTGTCCTTAGTATGGTCTAACTATCCTTCAATAACTCAATTACAGAACAAAATTGAACTCTGGAAACCTCAATTTGTTGATTTTTCAGTGTACTCAGCGAACAATTTGCTGTACTTAGGTGATGTTTCTGATTGATATATTGATTTTTTTGGATGGTTGGATTTGCATAAGCATTTCAGTAGAGATGCAGAGATATTGGGAACTGTCACAGAAGCCATTTAATCATCTATTGAAAATCACAGCCATATCAGCTTTTCTTCCAGTTTTGTAAATATCTAGTTGGTGTTATTTGATTTTTGCCAAGATTCTTTTTATCTTTGACATTTGAGCCTTCTCTCTAGTCATGTGTTGCCCCTTTTTGTAGAAATTCGAGTCTTTGACTATTTTAGCTAGACTGTGAATACTTGCCTGAGATAAACTGTACAGTTCAGGTTCCTTTACTCACATGATGCTCCTTTTATTACACATTATGAAGAGAAATAGCGAAACTTAGTTAAATCTTTAACTTGGTCTGTGGCTGTGTTTTTTCTTTCACGAAGTGGTTTATGATGATTCTAACTAAATGTAAACATATAAATCAATAGAATTGCAACATAAGTAAATGGTAAATGGATTTTACCATGAGGGACCTTTAATAGATTTCATCGGACTGGATCTACATTCAGTCAAGTTTAAATTTCTCTAACCCCAGGCTGAAACTAAACTAACTTTTCATCAATTTGGTTGCAATAAATGCTTTATCTTTCACATGAAACTTTATCTGAATCTGTTGTCTGTCATAATTGCTGATTTTCTTTGACATCAAGAACATACTTGCCATCCTTTCTAGAAGAGGACTGTTAGCCTTAGCATCCGTGTTTTTCATGTTAATAACTGATACCAGCTATGCCATTGGTCTATGTTGTTGCTGTTGGACATTGGATTGACGTGTATTATTGAACAATATTTAAGCTGGAGAAATTATTGATCCACAAAAGATCCACTGCACTTGACATGACATCCTTCTTTAATAGCTGTGGCCAATGCTATGGAGGAATCTACTGGTGGAAGAGGGGTTCTAAGAGATAAGCAGGACAAGCATCAAAATGTGGCTTGTAGGTCAGGAGAGGAAGGAGGAATGTATGCACTTGCTCATTATATCTGTAAAACTAGGTCATAATAGAGGCAGGAGAATATATGGAAGAGGAGAACAGTAGAGAGACAAGAAGACTTTAGGCCTTGCTTTTTGAACAGATACTTTTATCGATCATCCAAAAACCAAACTTCACATGCTTCTTAATGTAAAGCTTATTTGTACTTTTGTACATTTAAAAATGACTAGTCATATCTAAATTCTGGACAGCTCAGGTGTTTCTTCTGTTGTAACCCCATGATAGGAATTTACAACCATCTGAAAAAGTCCAGGGATGTGTGTTTACTCCTATGCTGGATCATTAATGAAGATATCAATCTACCTCATAAGACAAAATAGCTTCAACTCTTCTACCCAACTCAGAATCAAATCAATCATATCTGTCTGAACCTGACCTTCATCATTATCAATCTAGCTTCAGCTCATGTTGAAGAGTGTCTTTACAATTCTGACCCGATTCACCTGTAGGAGATTGATAGGCTTACAGATCAGAATTTACAATGCTTATAGACATTGATGGCCAACCATTTAATATTAATATGCTTTCCTGAATTGTTTCAGATAATTCAATTGCTTTACTTTTGATTTTTTTTATTTCTATTTCCACGTATGAGTGTCTAATTTGAAGATTGTTAGAGATGAAATCTCAAGATTTGATCTTCTACATGTGAACTCATAGGTTCACTTACATATGTGTGGTTCACCTGATTAACAGATAATCTGGTTGAGGATCTCTTAGGAGATTTTGAGTATGAAGTCCAAGTTCCATATCTTTTGTATCGAAATGCAGCTCAAGAAGTTAATGGTATATGGTTTTATAATTCACATGACTGTGAAGATATAGCAAACCTTTTCAGCAGGTACTAGTAGCATTTTTTAAACTGTTTATCAGTTAACTTTCTTTTTTGTCTTTTTTATGATTTTTTTGTCTATTTCATGATATTTTAAATGAATTCAGTTGGTAATTGTAGATATTATTATTAAGTTTTGTATCGTTGTCAGCTACTTGGTAATTGTAGGTTATTTTTTTCACCTGATTGTATGTTTTTCATCAAGGTTCACATGATAGGTTTGGGATTATCTATGATTGGTGTTGCTGAGAAAATAATTTATAGCAAGAAAAACAAATTACTATAAAAATGCTAAAGACTAGAAACTACTATGAAAGAAAATTAAAAAAAATATGTTGAAAGTTTTTCCTACCTTCATATTTCATTTTTATTGTTTTTAAAAAAAGCATATGGAATTGAAATATAAAATATGAAATTTGTGCAAAAGATTACAATAAACAATAATGAAGAATGATACAAAGGTATTATCATTATAGTTAGCTATGATATGTATGCCATGCAAAAAGGTAGAAAACTTGTTTGCATTTCAATAGCAATGAATAATTCAGAAAAGAAAAACAATTATTTTTTATTATGAAAATAAAAACATTAACTATGTAATCATGTTATCCAAAGATATTATATATTAAAGAATTATTTTATATGTTATGCAGAAAGATTTAGAATTTACTTGCCTGCATTTTGTATATAGCGATGAGCCTCACTATTGTCCTGTTTCTTCTCCAATCACCTTGTAGGCGAAGTGTTGGGTGACGTAAAGATAATTTTGCATAAGAAATTATTTGAAGAGAGAGTGATCAGGATTTAGGAATTCCAAATCCCATATATGTCTCTTTCCTGTGTTGATATCCCTATCCTCTCAAGGGGTTAAGGAATAAGGACTTTTTTCATTATGTTCCTCCCACTGCTCTTTCCTCTCTGTCTTGAGTGATGGACAGTTTATGTAAGGACTACAGTGAATATCGAACGAAATAGTAATAGCATTTTGTTTTTTTATATTTTCTTTATGGTTTTGATTACAATAATTTTTTTCACCTGTCCTCTTTTCTCACCTTTTTTCCTCCCTGTCCTATGGCAAGGTTGATAAATTGACTAGTAATGGTCAAAATTGGTTCAGTTTGATTATTTTGGCTGATATTGACAAATCATTGATGCTAAGACAAAGAATCCTACTAAATCAGGTTCGTTATATTGTATTGGAACTAACAAATATGGAAAATTATGTTTATCATACTTGTATGCGACTTTCCAACATGAAGGTCATTCTTATATGCCTTGTTTGATTTAGGTAGGAGAGCGCAACAAATTTTTTATTGAATACATTCCTTCCTACTCTTTTAATAATTTGGTGAGTTACCATTAGTTTTGTAATCATTTTGTTTCTTTTTTAAAAATTTATATAATTTTTGCCCTTTGAACCTATAGGGGTCTTTAGTGATCAGTGGTGCCATGTTTCTTTAACCATAGCAGTATTGGTTTGTAGAATTGTTCTCTTGTCCATATCTAATTGTAGAGTATAAATTTATGGAAATTGGTTCGATACAAATAAGATTTTTTGCAAGGTTTGCCTTTTCGGCTACTGGACCCGTTTCGAAAAACTGCTGGAATGGTATGTATCGATCTATACTGGTGTACCAACACAGTATGCTAGTGCATACCGGTGGCTAGACAAGAAAGAAAAAGAAAGAGACGTGGAAGGAGCGGTAGAGGAACAGAGGAGGAAGGAGGAAGGAAGCAATTTGGTATGGGTGCATGTAATTCATAATCATTGCAAAAAATGGGACATGAAGGGGAAATGTGTGGCAATCAAGTATAAATTTTAAATATAAATACCAATTGTATTATGCAGGACAAGACAAGATTCAATTTTCTTATGTTTGTTAGAGAACATGTAATTTTCCATATCCCTAATTATATCAAATTACCTTAAGGAGCACCCTAAATATAAACACGAGTCAAGTTTATTTTATTAACTAAATGATCTTATTCATAAGTAGAAGTTTAGTTGAAGTCATGAATAAAGTCAGAAAAATGCTCCAATAGGACAATGATAGGTGATTTTGTGATACATGTCTATCATTAATAGGTCAATGTCCATTAAGAAAATCTCTGGAGTCTGGAAGTCAAACTAGCAGCCAAAGTTTCATTGTCAGTTTGAAGGGGAGTTACTCAAGTGTTCAAGATGTGAAGAACTTATGATTCTTTGTAGCTTTTACATGTAAGTCATGTGTCTTGTAGTATCTGCATGTGTTATTTCCTATAATAGAAGATGTTGTGTGGCAGGTACCTCTTGTGCCACCTCTGTAATGACTTCTCAATCACATCTCTTCAACTTTTTGTACAGATGTTGACCCTACGAAGCAAATCATTGTCCCCTGCAGTTGCAGTTCCACCTGCTGCTCATTTGTGCTTTTCCATAATACATAATATTGAGCAATCATACTTTTCTTTATATGGTAATGCATAAATCTGGGAATGGGGTTTGTTTCTTACAAACTTGAGTAATCAGTATTGTGTGTTATTCTACTATTATTCGTAAATTCTATTCTCTGATGTATTAGAATATTATTATGCATCAGATATTATTCTCAGTTACACCATATGACAAACATTAGTGCTCTTTTATTCAGGATACTTAATGCCTATTCCAAAGTACCTCCCAAGGCTAAGGTATCTTCTAAAAGGTATATGCTATATTGCCTTAGTCAGTCATGTTTAGTAGCACTTTTTGTATTCTTATTATCTTTTAGTCTTTTGCTTACCATTGTTATCGAATTTTTCTTTGCATATGTTGTGGTTTGCTCTCAAGTTAACTTTTTTTAATAGAATAGTTTCTTTCTGTTACTAAGGCCTACAGATAGCGATCTGTAGTATTGTTTGTGTATCCAGTTTTATAGGGTCTTATTTCCCATTGTTTCTTTTTCAGCATCAATATTTTGTCTTTCTATTGGTATCCTTGGAATATGTTCTTTTAGAATCTTACACACCTTTGACAAAGTAAGGTACACACTTGCATGCATATGCAATAACATATTGGCATATACAACAATAAGCTGTAATATTCCAATTATTTGAGATCGGTTTCACGGATTTTTTGTCATTGGTATATATGCGTTTTTTTTGTCATGTGCAAAATATGGATGGTTGTTCCTACAAGAATATTCTCTTTCTTGTAACAGTGAGTTTGAGGAACTTGAAGCTGTACCTACTTCATCAGTAATTGAAGGTCCTCTTGAGCCAACAACTTCATCTAATGCTGCACCAATTCCTGATGTTCCTGATGATCCATTTGCAAACTTTTTCAGTGTACGGTATCTGCTAAGTAGTATCCTCCACCATACCGTTAGTGAGAAATTCATGTCTGCTGCTACTAAATGTAGCTTTTCAGAGTAAAATAGTCTGTTTGCTGTATGATGTTTATTCTACATATGTTAAGACATTGCAGAATCATGTTCTTAGTTAGCAGATGATTGTTATTTTAATAATTATTTATGACAGGAAAACTATCATTATTTATTTGCAGAATGCTGTGAACATTGGAAATGCATCAAATGCGACAACACTGGCAGTGCAACCAACTGTTGATGCAGCAACTATTCCTGTAACTCATCATGGACCATTTGTCAATCCATCTGTGGTGCCAACTTTTCAGCCAACCTCTGTTATTCCAGCTTTGTCCACTCTTCTAGTGGCACCTTCGGATACCCTTGAATCTAGCAGTGGAAACAGCAACCGTGCTACAAATCTTGTGAAGCCATCGTTTTTCTCTCCATCTCTCTCTTCTTCGGCATTGGTAACGCCTCCAGTGTCATCTTTGACTCTCACTGCTCCTCCAGTCTATCCCCCAGTTACAATGCAGCATCCGTATGGCACTCCATTACTTCAACCATTTCCACCACCTACGCCGTCTGCGTCCCTCACTCCTGCTCCAATATTTGGCCCAGTTATTACTAGAGACAAAGTCCGTGATGCACTTTTGAGGCTTGTGCAGGCAAGTTTTCTTTTATTTTGCTACTCTAGTTGCTTTCTTCATCTATCTTTCTCTGAAATAAATGATGACATAAATTATTGGTGCTATTTTATGTTATTGCCACTCTCATTGTCCTGCTGACTTTCACCTTTCCCTGCAAGTTAACAAATGTTGTGATGACTCCACGCCCTTGAAGCTAGTGCTATAGGTCCATTACCCTTATATAAACTCTGTGTGAAACACAGTTTAGCTGTGCACTCGCTCTTTCTGTCTTTTATCCTGTCCTCGCTGCTTTTTTGTGTTTCCTGTCTTGTTATCAAGATCTGCTGTCATGAATGGGCCATTTCATCAGTAATTCTGCACCCATGGGAGCTCCATCAAAGTGTGTTCATCTATCCTTGGTTTTTCCAGGATCTTCTTCAGCTTTTATAATCTTTGACTGCTTCGATTTATTACTACATAAGTCAATGAAATTCCACGTAAGACAGATAGATAGGGTTCATACTCGCAGAACTTCTACTTGCAAATCACCTGAAATAGTACATTGAGAGGGCCTTTTGCTTTCGATAATAATTTTTTGCTGCTTTGTATCCGGTGAGTTTATAAAGTATTAAAGTCCATCTAAATTTGCTTTCTTTACAGAATAATGAGTTCATTGAGATTGTATACCGGGAGCTGCTAAATGCACATTGCCCGTGACAAAAAAAAAAAAAAGGGGGATGTGGGATTGTGCATGGTGCCTATGGTTACTACTAGTCGTGCCAAGGTATTGTAAATCTTTCCGGTGGCTGATACGGACATGTAACTTCTGTTTATATGACGTCTTTTGGGTTGGTTGTAGATGGGAGTGCATTAGATCTTTCATACTGTAGGGAATTCGGCACCTGTTCGTTTATTGCCTAAAGTTGTGTTAGCATAACATTGGACCATCCATCATCATGAATGCATGCATTGAAGCGTGGCTTTTGGTTTATGTCATGTTCCAAAACTTGGCCCTTTTTTGAATTTTCAGCTTTTGGTAAATGGGTATCGATATTTTTGTTAAGTGGATTTGATGTTTTAGGTGTTAAATAATGTGTATATACGCATTGTGTTTGTAAATGATCAAACATTTGGGAATGTTATAGATTTCTTTCAAAAGGCAATAATTGAGGAAATAGATACAATGAACTTCCTGCTTATAATACAACTCGTGCTGGGATTTCGTTTGATTCGTATGTAATTCGAAGCTACGGGTGCCTCACCTCTCTTCCCTCTAATTTGCCGTAGAAGAACCACCAGTGGTGTAACGTAGAAATGTGAGACCTGCACCAACTCTAGTGATTACGAGTCACTGCCCTCGACAAGGGATACTTTTCCCTTGGTTTGGTGGTGGCTTGCTGTTGTGCGCATAAGTCTTTATTTGAAGTGACAGAAAATGATCGAAAAGAAATAAGCATCTCGCTTGTATTTATCGTGAATAATATTACGACTCTTAATGTAGTAGCATTATGTCGACTCGATTAGAAATCAAATAGGCATTGTAGCATAAACGTATACCATAAACCAAACAGTGAATACTCCACTATGAACCAAACAGATCTGTGCCCAGAGTCCTCAGAAAGATCACTCGTGTCATGAAGTAATACCATACTATACTGTGAACACAAACCACCACATGAACCAACAAGCTTGATTGTGTTTCACATGGCTAACCAACATAAATCCACGCATACTCAGACGCAGAGGCCAGCGATCATGATAACAGCACATATGCTGCAATCCATGAAGACAGCGCTCGAAACTGTCCGAATCATCAACCACGCCTCCAATGCATCACCTATGTTGCTTGGCCAACCATGCTCCTGTTTTCCAGTCCTTGCTTTCTCGTTTTCTTTCGCATCAGTTCCGTGGTTTGTTATCAGCAGCCCGAGAACAACGGTCACATCAGTCAGCATAACGAGGAACAATGGTCGAAAGTTCAAGATGCTTCCCATGACTGCACCACCAAAAGCATATCCATGGTTCGACAGGATGACCAAAAGAGCTATCACGACTGCACCGATCAACCGTATATTTTCAGAAGCTGCAATGGAACGACTGACTTGCTTTGACGAGAACATCAGCTGTTTCTTCACCCTTGGCGCTGTAGGTAAAGCTGCATCCACAACTTCATCGGATGACCTCGGCGCCATGGCACTGGTCAGCAGTTCAGAATCCCTACCGCTTTGCACTGTCTTCGCTTTAGCTTCGTTCCCTGATTCGCACGTGCAAATATCATCTTCCTTCTTGTCACCATGCATTTCATCACTTGCCAGAGCTTTTACATGGCTTCTCTCACTTTCTGTTCTTTCCCCAGCTGGTTCTGTTCTTTCCCCAGCTGGGCCACTGGCTTGGCTTCTGTATTGGTCAGAAAAACGAGAGATGGTAGCTCCATCATCCTCGCTAAGAGGGGCAACTGCAATAGTGAGGCGGACATAGATGAGCTCACTCTAGATGCAAAGAACTTAACAAAATTAGGCATAATAAAATTGTCGAAGGTCTAACTAAATGTAACGCCTTCCAAGAAATCATTCGGCACCAACAAGTTGTACATCTTACATTAGTAGGTATATCCAAACAGACGAATACTTGGGGTTAGTTTTTTCACTAAAAATACCACAATCAACATAGAAAACTAATTAGTTCATACAGTAGCAATAAGGTGATAATAACTGGTCTCTAACCTAGTACCCCTCACATCATATAACACCAAAGATAATGAAGTAGCAGGAGATCAGCAAAGAATATCCTAACACTACTTAGTCCCAATTGGATCCTTGCCCACTAAGCGTTGTGGACATGTTGCTTTCAACAAATCTATTTATAGAGAAAACACTAATAGAGGTATTATAAGAAAATTAAAAGGTAACTATATTTGCGTGAAGCAATCATCATAGAACAAAGTCATCAAAACAAAGAGGACATCATGTTGGTCAAACTGAGCAAGTCCACCAGCTGGTGGACAAGCATAGGAAGATTGGATACATTGTATGCACTATTTTTCTGTTAACTGATTCAAAAGGCAAGGCAATCTTGTTGGATCTCTTCTACCAGCAGTTTTGTGTGAAATTTGGCACATTTTCATTGTACAAATAGTGTTTTCAAAAGCACTAGATGCCAAAAGGCACCAAGGTGCTTGCTAAGGTTCCTGCCCAAGCGAAGCAAGAAGCTCTTGAATATTAAAATTTTAAAAATATATATCATGATTGATAAATAGGATCACGAAAATAAAAAAGACACAGCAAATTGCATTATTATAAAGTACCAAATTACATTGTCCATATCTAATAACAAAAATATCAAAACAAAATAAAATAAACAAAATATAATTCTTTAGATAGTTTATTTCCAACAGGGATCCTTTCTTGTGTTTTTTGCCAATGATTCTTCTTAATTACTCTATACACTTGCCATTATTCCAGAAATATAGAAATGATCAAACATCAAATGCGATATACATTAAGAAATATGTTAATAACAACATATTGTGTAGTACGTTGCAAGCCTACAACTATAGGGTGTTATTTGTCCTCGTAGGGTGCTTAAATCAAGTTCATTTCCATCTAACAGGGTAATAGAAAATTCTAACAGAGTGCTGTTAAGAGCATATATCAAATTATAGTTACAGTGTTCTTGTTATCTACCTAACAGTGTCCTATTATGTTCTAACTCCTAACAGTGTACCCACCTAATAGCGTTCATAAATTCCTGACAATTTAACAAAGAGCAGGAAATAGGAGATATTTAAGCAAAGTGCTCAAGATGTTGCAGGAAATAGGAGAACATTTAACAAAACTGTTGTTGTTACCTATAAATTGAGAAAGAGGTGATGGAGAAGTAATCAGATGGTGAAAGGCTATGGAGTATGGCCCTGAGGAAGGCAGCAGTGCACGGTGGAGGAAGGTTGGCTTCTTTGACTCAAGCTACGGTGGTGCTTAGGGTGGAGGAAGGTAGCAACTGGTGGAACAAAGTTGGTCGACAATATAAGCTCACACGGCGGAGATACGAAGCTGCACAAGGCGGCGTAGGGCAAAGGAGGCTCACGGCCAATGACTTAATCTGAAGGAATACGCTACACACAATAACGTAGAGCGAAAGAGGCTCGCGATCGACGACGTAAGCCAAAGGAGGACCCTGCACACGACGGCATAGGGTGGAGGAGGCTCGTGGTCCAAAGGCCTAGCGCAAAGGAGGCTCCCATGCTTTAATTGGATCGGGTGCACACTTAAGTTGCTCAATGTCTAGGTTTAGGCGTGCACCCGAGTGGCGCCTCCTTGAATCGACTCACCCAGACCTATTACAAGGCACTCAGGCCTCGCCTCGCCTAGCCCAGGCGTCTAGTTGACCGCCTGAGCGCCTATTGAAAACACTAGTATAAAATGATTTTGAACTATGTTAATTCAGCTCAATTCAACCAACAATAACATTACACTTGCATCAGCAAAGTTGACCATTTGTTCCAATAGAGGTGTTCTTAGTACATATTTGGTCTTGGTTTATGTCATAGTAATGAAATTCCAAAAGTCAAAGTTAGCCCTCTTAGGGTGGTTTAAAAATAGAAAATATAATCATCTCAAGAAATTCTTTCATACGGGTCTTGCACTTCAATGCACCTAACCGAAAACTATGAGAGACATACCAATCAACCCACCTTTCCCCTTTGTTCCTTTCTTCTTCTTTTTTTCTTTTTTTTGGTGAAGGAATTAAAAGAGCAGCGGAAGAGACAAATACAGATAGGCATCCAATAGTTGCAGAATGGTCTATAGTTCCTTGAGTAAGATTATTTAGTAACCACCCACTGACCAGACAACTGAAAATCTGAGTTGATATCAGATTTAGAATAGGCACAACAAAGGAACATTTCCAATATTTTATTGACCTTCAAATTAATATCTAATAAAAGAATAAGCAAGTACAGCATGTAGAATAAAAATGACCCTAATTCTTACTGAAAACAAAAATAAACTGATGCTACTCAACATGAATAAATAGCAGCTACAAAATTAAAGTAAGCCCTCCGATAGGGTTCTAAGGAACAAACAGTATTCTTTCTGTTGGTCCCGAGATGAAGGAAACACAATTCCAGAATCGAAAACTTCTCCAAGGAAAAGGTTTGTCAGGCATTAACAGTCCAAATGGGAGGAGGAAACAACAAATAATTTAATACATCAAAGATTTCATTTCTCGGCAGCCGTAACAAGCTTGCAGCAAGGATAAAACTCAAAACCATTGACACGATTGTCACGCATAGAAAGCCGAAGAACTTAAGTGTAAATCTCTATTACCAAATTGGTCGTTTTTCTTTTCCCACAAAGGGAGCATCAATGATCGTAACAAGTCTTGTTATTCAAGAGCTAATCTCATTCATGGTTACTTACCTTACAGTTACCAAAGAAGAACACATTCTTTTCAAAACCAAATATCATGCCCCTTCTTTGTGGGAATCAACACAGATAATCTTCAAATAACATTTTCTAACGAGCACCAAAAGTATGAATCATCAGATAACATTTTCTTTGCGATCAGTGCTCCAAAAACATGATTAGGAAAAGGAAAAAAGCGCATCAAGAAATTTCCATGCCGAGAACGAATCAACAACAACAGAAGCTTGCATTAGCTATCCAGATTGTGTAAAACAACTCCCTCGTTCGCCCGACGGAATGAACGAAAGACGAGATATCTTAACTAAAGATCTTATTTTCTGAAGTGTGGAGAAGAAACAGGTCTTTATGATCGGCGTTGAAAGGTAAATTGAGTACCAAGTTGCAACGCAGCAATCGAGCCCTAAAACGCATCTACCAAAAATAGGACGACTCCTCTCATCAGACGCATCCAAATGCAAATACGTTTCAAAGGAAAGATGATTCGTTAACATGGTGCGACCTAGATCGAGCAAGGAATCCACTAAAAAGATATCAAAATAACATTTAAAACAGAAGATGGGGTCAGAAACATCCTGTGACGTAGATCGAGCAGGTAATCAACTAAACGAGGGCAAGATAGCACTACAAAGTGAAGAATAGAAGAAACTGGAACAAAGAAGGGAAGAGGAGGAAGGAGATCTTACCGGAGGTCTTAGGATGCGCTTCCTTCGGAGGTGGAGGAGAAGGAGACGGAGGAGGAGATGAATCGGGGATGGACCGGGCTTGGCCGGCAATGAAGGCGAGGCGGTCGGTCCCACGCTCCAAGATCCTCCGTCGGCGAGCCTCCCTTGCGCTCTCCATATCCGTCGGCCGGTTATCGCGAGGCGCCGAGAGCGATGCTATTATACAACCTGAGGCGGCCGCGAGAAGAGCACCCCGCCCGCTGCCCACGGTGCGCACACGTACACGGGAATGAGGTGTGCTGACGAGTTATCTTGAATCATCCACCGTTTGGAACTAATCAGACGGTAGATATCATGTGTTTTTTTGCCCTTTATTCGGTTCCTTCAAACATATTTACCGGAATAACCTCGATTTTTACATTTCTAAATAACATAATTAGACTTATTACAAATTAACCCTTATAGTAACTATATGTTTATATTTTAAAAAAATTATATTGACATTTCTATAGTTACAAAAGTGAAACATCTATATTCATTTATCTTAATATCATGTTGGTGGTAATTCTAACGTTCTAGTCGATGATAACGGACGATTGTGTCACCAGGGGCCTATGTGCCCATCGTAGATGAGGAGAGTAAGTGTGAGATGTGAGAGCCGCTTTATATTTATGTCAATGTCGATATAATTGTCGAGTAGTCATGTCTTTGCTTTGCATTTACGTCAACACTAATGTAATTATTGAACGATGAAAAGGTTATCAATGTAAATATCAAACAATATTGCTTAGTAATTATGTTGACACCAATACAGATACAGAGCAATGCCGCTTGGCATTTGCATCGACGGTTCTTTCATCGTTTGACAACTGTATTGATATTAACACAAATACAGAATAGCCCTCACATCTCATCGCTACTTGACAACTATGTCAATATCGATGCAAATATAAAACAACCTTCACCTCTCATCGTCGTTCTTTTCATTCACAACAGTCATTCATGACCCTCAACAATGTTGTTATCCGTTATCACAAATAAGAGTATTAAAATTATATTTTTTATCATTTTATTTTATATTTTTATTAGTAAAACTAATAATGTTATGATAAATATACCTAGATATTTCATCTTCATAATTATATGGTTATATGGATATCAATATATATTTTTAAAATATAGGGATTGAAATATTAAAATAATTAACTAGAATAGATAGTATGTAATTAGCCTAGCAACCCTGATAAATTTTAATATATGTTGTCCCTCCAAAAATTAGGAAAAATCTAAAAAAATAATAACTACTAACAAAGAGGTTCTATTTTGTTGTTTTTCAATAATAATATAACAGAACAACTCTCTATCAATTTTCAATTTTTTTTATTAAATCATTTATAAATGAGTTTTAAGATGTATTTGTTCTATTTTGTTGTTTTTCAATAATAATATAACAGAAAAACTCTCTATCAATTCTCAATTTTTTTATTAAATCATTTATAAATGAGTTTTAAGATGTATATCTAAGTTGAGATTATATCTAAAGTATTTTTTTATTAAATTAAGTTGAGATTATGTAAAGTCCGACTCCCGCAGCTTCGCCGAGCTGCTGATGTCGCCCGGCCTTGGTGTGCGACGACTCCGCCGTGTCCTGGGTGACGTTCCACAGCGCCCACGACTTCGGCTACCTCATCAAGATCCTGACCAGCCGAAAAATCCGAGGGAATTCATAGGCTCGGTGAGTGTTTTCTTTGGGAAGAAGGTGTTCGGCATGAATCACATGATGATGTACTGCCGCAGCTTGCACCGGCGGTGGGGAGGTACCACCACGCGAGGTCGAACAGCTTGCGTACTAGGCGAACGTTCCGGCGGACGAAGAATATAAATAAATATATATATATATATATATATATATATATATATAATTTGACATGACACATCTTATTTGGCAATAATAGATTATGTGGTATATAAGGACTAATTACATATTATCTATGTAATAGTTATTTTTAATATTTTGATATTTATATTTTAAAAATTATATTAAAATTTTTATACTTACGAGAGTGAAATATTTAATCTCATTTCTTCTCACGTCATCGTCGATCTCATTGATGAAAATATTATACGTGCTTAATCGATGATATGAGAAGAAACACAATTAAATTTTTTTTGTAAATATAAAAATTATTATATAATTTTTAAAAATACAAAAAATTAAAAATTAAAATAATTATTATAAATATAATATATAATTAGCCCAGTGTCTAAGGATAATACTGATGCTTTGCCTTGTGAATCTGGGGTTGTGATTCCGAAGCACTTTGCCTTGGATCATGGGCCGTCGTCGTACTCTTGGATCACCACCATGTGCTGTGCTCGTTCTTGGTGATACTTGCGTTGCAATATCCCAGAGGCTGTTCATCTCCATATATATATATATATATATATTGGAGATTGATTATTTGGCATCAGGAAAACCTCTTGAATATAATTTCATACTGTTCGACCAATCGAACATTACATCAACTCATATATAATTATAAATCAAGTTATCGATATGAACCCATCCATCCATTATGAGCAATAAATTTAAGAATCGTGTGATATATAGTTTGACTGTGGGAGCTAATCGTGGTGTTTGGTATGTCTCCTCTTGCTACAGATTTCAACGTTAACCCCAATGTTGACTTCAAAGAGGCAATTAATGTATCCCTCTCCGTAAGCCATGAAGTCTGTGTCGTCTCTCTCACACGCACATTCACGAATGTAGAAGAAGATCGGACATGATCAGCATCTGTAGAACGCCTCCCAACTCGAGTCATCCAGTGATCCGATCCAATTGTCATGCACCAGGCTTTGCTCCTCATGTATTAGATCTGCATCACTTGAAGAATCCCCCCACCATACATAGTTGTCGACAGGTTGCGTTGGATACGCTCGAGGACTGCTTGAATCCACTTTGTTCTGCAGGTCTTCTTCCACCGGCTGAGTTAGGATGCTTTCCCACTCCAAGAACAGTTGGTGATCGGGAAATGGCGCAGGGATTTGGTTGCACGAGCCTGACTCTACTGCGGGCTGCGAGGATTCCGGCCGCACGGCCGGGCTTGGATCCAAGTACTTGGCATACAGCACCTCTAGGTCGATGGCTGAGCCGTCGGCGGGGGCGGGGGCGACGCCTGAGTTACTCACGATGTCGTTCAGCATGAGGTCGGGGCGGATCACGTCGCGACCGGCCACGGCAGCGACGGCGGACGGCGACCTGGCCGGCTTGCCCCGTCGGCTCTTACGGCAGCCGCCGCCCACGGGCACGTTGCGGAGCGATCCGCCCTCGGTCCAGTAACGCCGGCAGGCCTTGCAGAAGTACCGCGGCTGGCTGAGGCTGTAGTTGTTGTAGTAGCAGAACTTGGTGTTGGAGGAGACACAGCGGGGGCAAGTCGGCGCCACCGGCCGCGGAACGTAGGACAACATTTCATCCAATCAAGGGGGAGAAGAAGAAGAAGAAGAGGAACGAGAGAGGAGAGAGAAGAAGAGGGAGCAGAGGGAAGAGAGGACCAACTCATTATTTGTAGGCTAAGAATCTGATGCAGGCAATGCACGTGCATGGAAGATGAGTTGAGAAGAAGCTTTGGATTGGCCGCGTAGGCGCACGTATTTTGATGGCATTGATTGCTTGCGCGTCTTCTCCTCGCCATGAGAGAGGCTGGTGAGACATAATCGACGTCGGCATCACCAATACCGGAGATTAAAGATTAATCTCATGTTAGTAATTGTTGATTAATAACACTATAGATGAATTGACAGTGATTCATAATTTAAGAACAATTCTTCTGCAAAGTAACATTACAATAGGAGTGCAGGATCCAAATGGTACAGAACCACCAAGCTTGGATTATTGAGTGAGATCTCTTCGAGTACATGACAAAGAGCAACCAATTCAAACAGCAATGGAGGCCATCAGCATGATGTCTTGTTCAAGAAGCAGTTGTCACTGATGCATCTTCAGAATTGGTGCTTCAAGCAGCTGCTGTTGCATCTTTCTCTTCAGTTGTAGTAGGTATCGGCTTGGTAGGGGCAGGCAAGCGACCGATGTCATCGACCCTGTCTCGCTGCTTCGGTGGAGGCCTTGCTGGTCTCGGTAATAGGCGTCCCTTCTTTGCGAACCACTCGGGCGTGAGCAGTGCCCTAAACCCCAGCTTGTTGTAGTACACCTTTCTCACGGAACCACCGGCAGCTTCCACCGCAGCTTTTGCACGAACTGTCACTCTCGATACCTGCGGAGTCCACATTGATGTTAATTACCAAAGAATGATCTATCGGGGATGTTACTTGTAATTGTTAGAGGGAACGATGGAAAAGTATGATTGCATCTAAGTCTATAGTGATAGGAGGAATACTCATATGCAAGTTCTACAGGCCATATTATTTCGTGAGAGAAAAGCAAGCCATCCTTTTATCAACACCATGACAGATTATTTCTGTATGTACATTAACACATAAAAGATAATATGCATTACATAATATATTTTCCTTCCCAAAAAATTGATCATGCAATGCCATCAACTCAATCAGTGGTATGACTCCATTACAGCAACATACAAATCAACTTAGAAGCTGAGTTAAGAAACGTAACATTACTGGAAATGCTGCCATGTCAAGTACAAATAAGAACATATGTGCAAGTATTTCATCGTGAAAATCATACTTATCATCTCAGGAGTAAAGAAAATTTCACCCTATAAAAGGAAAGGCGTCTGTATCTAGAACGATAAAGCATTTTAACTGAAAGGTACAAAAAATATGTCGAATCAAGATCACTAACCAAAACTAGTGTGGTTTAAAAGTGATGATAATTTCACTGATCACTGATGAGGGCAAGTGACAGTGAAAGATTGGCGAGGTGCCAACCAATCAAGAAATCATGTATTTCAATAAGCAATTTCCTTTCAAGTTATCTTCTAACAATAACTTACCTCAAGGTGTATCGGCCAGTTGATATGTTCAGAACCACGAGCCATCAACCTGATGCCATCTTCTATATGCTTTCCTATTGCACCTGTATCCTACAGTCATGGGGAATTCAGATTTAATTTGAATCAATCAGACAACACCAACATGCACATATGAAGATAAAGTTGAGTACCTTAAGGGTTTTCATAGTAATAAGTTCTGACGAGTCAATTTTTCCTGCATTTATGAGTTTTGCAATCTTCCCCAAACCTACAGGCTGTTATAAACATAATATCAATAAAACAAACAAATATAACAGATTTTTTTTTTTGAACAAATATGAAGAAGTTAATTTAAAGAACAACACAAGCTAATGAAACATTAGCAACAATGGAAATTAACCTTAGCTTACCCAAGCATGCATGAAAAGGCCAAAGAACCCATAAAGAAAAAAAAATATGGAAAATCATGCAGTTATTTCATCTGCTAGAAGTTCTTATACATCAGAACAAACAATTTTTCCTCCAACTGCTCAGCAATTTATTAAGCGTGAAAATATGTTTGGAATTAATGCAAAAATGACACAATGAGCATAACAAAATAAGTTAAGTTGAATAAACAGGAAACAACTTGGATATTGCAGAGGTCAGAAGTGGCCACCAAGCAATAAAGTAAATTAGGCGAGCAGGAGAAGAGCCTGAAAAGCAAGTGATGAGAGCCGCTTCTTTTACATTAGCATAAAATATTCCTCCGCTCCCCTTCAACAGAATAGTTCCTATGAGATGTCGGCCACGGATCATTTAGCCCCAGAGTTAGACGTATTTATTGACGAATCATTCTGTCCGGTTTTCCATCAAATTGGTAGTTGTCTGAACCATCAAAACCCATATTGGAAAAGTTGAAATGTTCAAAAGGCTGATTCTTGATCAAGGAATCTAGTTCTTCATGCTTAAAATTGCAATGGACATCAAGTTATTACCAATGCAACTCCTTCAAACACTCTTAAAGAAGTATGGAACTCCTAAATTATGGAAACATAATATAATAAATTGTTGGCACAAAATAAGCAATGGAAATGGACACATATACAACAATATACATGGATATATAAATGTTTCATGTAACAGTGAGAATTCTAGTAGCTTTCTTTTCTCTGTATATCTAAGCTAGCACTACTCATGAACCCATATGAATTGGAAGAGCTTTACATCACCACCACATCTCAGAATGAGTAGTGATAGCTTAGATATACAGAGAAAAGCAAGCACTCAACCCTTGAAGTACACAATCTATGATGTGATTGTTATCAGACAATAGTTCCTAACAATACATCAAGCTATATCCATCTGTACAACCGGAAATGCAATGCATTACTAAAAATATCGCCTTTTCGTTTCTGTGGCACCATTTCGTCCCCGAAAAAACCAGCAGAAGAAGAGAACAGGACAACCTAACGCAACATAGAAAGAGATATACGAGATCGTGGAAAGTAATGCAATCAGGTCACCTGGAAGGTGAGGCTGAAGGGATTCTTAAAACCCCGCCTGGGGAGTCGACGGCGGAGCGGCGTCTGGCCACCCTCGAACCCAAACTTGCTCGTCCCTCGAGCCTTCTGCCCCTTGTGCCCCCTTCCGGCCGTCTTCCCTTTCCCCGACCCAATACCCCTCCCTTTCCGCTTCTTCTTCTGCCGCGCCCCCTTGTTATCCCTCAGATCGTTCAGGCTCAGCAGGCTCGCCGTCGCCGGAGACGACCCCATCGCCATCCCGCTGTACGAAGACCTAAAGATCCCGAACGGAGTAAAGCCGGCATCCATCGCCGCCGCCGCCGCCGCGGTAGGAGGTGGGGACTTCAGGGCTCTGGCGAGGGGCGCGATGGAGATCGAGGGGGGTCGGGTGACTGGCAGCGGGCGACGGATCGGGAAGGGTAGGTCGGAGAGGACGGAGAGGCGGCGCCGCCACATGACTAGGGGGGATTACGAGCGTAGGTTTAAGCCGGCGGCGGGTGGTGCATTCGATCCGTTCGGTGCCGGCGGGAGGAGGAGAACTTTCGGCTGTCGGATCGCGGAACAACGAAGGTGGAGGGGGCTTAACTGGGTTTAGGGCTTGGTACGGAGGAGGAACCTTAGCGGGTTGGATCCTATGGCCTCGACTCGATCCGATCCGAGACAAAGCTTGACATCTCCGCATACTCAAAAATCAAAACTATTTATGTTAAATTATTAAGGATAGTCTTTCTATTAATTATATATCAATCAGCATATTTATACATTAAATATTAATTTATTTAATATTTGATTTGTTTAATATTTTTTTATATCCATAATCTTATATATGTTCATGTCTACATATAATAATACAACATTATTTAATTATTTTATACTATTATTTAAACAAAAAATAGTAAATAATGAACATATCTAAAGAATTCAGTAAACCAGAAATAACAAAAAATATATTATTAGGTTTTTTTCCTAAAAATAGAGTAATATATACTTGTAATTAGAAATATTTAATGTGGGAAATATGGTCAAGAAAAGGATAGAGAGAGGAATATATTAAAGAATGAGGGTAGTATGGGAAGAGAATCTCATCCACGCCTTTACTCCCGCCACCCAACTCATTCTCCCTCGATTCCCACCCACCGACAAGTGATTGAAGAGCCGCTACGAACTCCCAAATCCCTTCGCCTTACGTTCCCCCTAAGCTTTCCTCCTCCTCATCCTCTCTCCGATCGGCCGGGCGGAGATGTAGATCGCCGCCCTCCTCTTCGTCCGAGGCGGCGGATCCGGTGGTCCTCGCCGACGCTACCGACGTCAGCCACTTAGGATACCTCGGCAGTGCGACCGCCAGAAAGGTCATCCCCTTCGTCGCTGGCACCGCCGCCAAGCGTCAATCCGTCCAACTCGAAAGGTCTCCCTTTGAATCCCCCCAGTCATGCTTTTCTTATCATCAATCTCGATTTAACCTAACGGGTGCTTTCCACATGGTTTGACTATTCCGGCAAGAATTGAATTTTAAGTGCTTTTTATGCTTATTTTCTTTATCATATTATAATTTCAGGCTGCATTATAATCACAATTTTGGGGGAGAATCGATGGTTATTTGTTATTATCTGTTGTGAAATATTGTCTTTGAATACCGGCCCATGTCAAGATGATCGGTACATATCCTTCTTACGTAGAAAAGGACAAGTATTATCATAAAAATGAGTGGAAATTTGGTTTAATGCTAGTTTGTTCTGCTGCATGGAACATATTCCACCATGGAATTTTACTTCCAATTCCTTATGCCTATTGACTTGACAAGTTTCTTTCACATTATTTGATAGTTATAGTAGTTACTTTGCTAAGCCTAGTTCTATTTGTCTCTAGCTGCTGGTCATAAGTCTTACATAAGTTAAATGCTATTAAAAGGTACTGGACGAGTGTCAGAAGAACTTTGGCAACTCTTGGAGAGCTGTAAAGGAAGATACTACTCAAGCATGGCCATATTTGACTGAAGGTTTAACAAAATTTCAGGTTTGTGCCTTTCTTAACTGAAAAACTTTGAGACAGTGGAATTTGGTTTTATAGTTGTGTTATTCAATGAAGATTCCTTTTTTTTTTGTAATTAGAAGTATCTTATATCAAAACAAGAAAACAAGAAATGTATAAGAGATATACATGTCTATACATGAAGGACCAAAGCACAGCACTTGCAGCCAACACAGTTACTGCAAAGAGTAATCTTAACAAATGACATTACCCCCTGCATGAAAGGTGATTGCCGACTGACTTATCCGTCTTGTTTCATCAGTTTGTTTTATATTGCCCGCCATGCAATTACAGCATGTCTTGGAGTCCTCTTAAGCCATGTAACCTTGTACCAGCATAGCATGGGTCTCTTGAACTTGTTCATAGGTAACCTTGACAGTAAAAACTTTTCATATGTTTGAGATATGAAATTTGATGTCGTAGTTGATTGGATATCAATATTCCTGATTTCGTTTCAAATTCTTTTATCATCCATATTAAGTTCAGACAGTAGGAGCCATCTTTTGTTGATCAGAAACCTCTGCTGTCGAAGAACCATCAGTCTTAACCATTTCCGTTCCAGCCTTTGAATAGTAGGAATTCCTGTACCTTCAACAAAATTGTGAGCAAACTAACATTTTCTCATTGCAGTACATTTGTTAGTTAACAATGGCTTTTCTGCATGAACCAATCTTGATAACACAGCAGTACAACAATGCAACTTCAAGTATTTCAATCTCAATGATGAGCATCACAGCATCATCGCAGTTAGAAATATTTCCATTCACTTATCTAGTAACAGTAGAAGATTCACCTTTCTGGTCTTTGCTGTGGACAAGAACCAAGAATCCACTCATTCTGTAGTTCCATTGAAATCTCCCTTCAAATCTGTTGCTGCATATCCCTGTTTCTGCACTGAAACTTGTGCGAGTTCATCCGCAGATTGGTGTGTAGATGCACAGAGGACATTTTGATCCGAAGAAGTGAAAAATTTTCATCATGTCAAGCTTGCAATGGGCTCTGTTTTGAAGCAGAAGCATGTTGTCTCTTTCGCCCGGATCAATCTGAGTCAACCATCACAAATTATACACTTCACAACTGTTAGTCCTAATCGAATGCATTAAAATGTTTATCAAACAAAATTTTCGTGATCAAGGGAAACTCTCATGGATAACCTTTGAGTTATTTCATTGATCACTCTTACTGGTTGATTTTGTTTAAATCGTTGCTATCTTAGAAATTGGTTTTACCTTTGTATAGGATCCTGCAGAAGCTGACAAATTGTTTAAAATTCAGAGGGATTTGGATCAGACTAAAATTATCTCAGTAATTTTTCATAAATGAACTTTGTGCATCCAAGTTGAAGATTTTTTAACCGTGATGTACAATATGCTTCAAATTTTGCCTTTTTGTTTTGCTAGAAGAGCTACAACTGAAATGAATACGTGTAAATTTGCATTTTTTGGGCATCCGTCCTGCAAATGAGAAAATATAAAATGACTAGATGTTAAGAGCATACAACTTAAATATGCTGTCTAATATACAGCACATGACACAAAGTGAGTCTTTTCGTATGTTTCAAGTTGGTTGACTGGTTCAAAGCTGGGATCTTATTCAGAAATCAATTTTTCTTGATCTATATGAAAAAAAATACTTGTGTTAATGATGTAATTTTTGTGTTAGGTTTTAGTTGCTTGGGTGGAATGCTTCTAAATTTGTTAGGTAAATGGTGTCCCATATTTTGTTGCCTATTGGTGAATGCTGTTATTCCCGTTCGCCTTCTTTCTACATATGCCTTTAACCTGCGAAAGGTGTGGCATGGCTGATGTAATACTGGGGCTTCTGCTTGCAGTAATTTAAGTCTAATACCTCAAGTGTTCTCTGTATGGCATGTAAGCAGAAGAAGATTCCCCTACTGATGCATGTTATTATTATACTTCGATACAGTATCTCCATTATGTCAACTTCTTACATTATCAACCCTTCTAATCAAATCGCATAAAAGGGAATGAGTAAATAGTCCAGACAATTTAGTGCATTAGCACAAGGAGAGGAATTGGATAGCTTGGTTGAGAAGAGTTCAGATCTAAGAGTAAAGAAAAAAAAAAGTCGATTACTTAGGTCAACGGTCAACCTTAATGCTGCACTAGATGGCCTACAACCATAAGCAACTGCTGTCCATCATTTTGTATAGAGACCTTTGGGGCAATGTAAAATTACAAATTAATTCACATTTTCTTTAGTATTTTAAAATATATCAGAAAAGGAATGTCTCTTCCCCCATCCTTTCACTCTACACATGCTTTTTCAATAAAAGTAAATCCATCATAGTGCAAGAACACAATTTCAGATAGTCTTTATGAAGCATGTACAAGATTCTTGCTTTAGACTTTGTATGCTTTTACTCGTGCCATTTAATCAATACAAGTCGAATTGCAGTCTGCTTTTGCGGTGGTCTTGCATACACATTGATTTAAATGGTTATGCACTTTTTCATTACTGGAAATTTTTTCCAAGATGCTTGCTTATGTTGTATAACAAGAGCACTTCAGTCCTTTTTTTTGTGCCTGCTAATGTGTACAAGCGGAACAACTTATGAATCAGTATTTCTCAATCTCATGAGTGAACTGAACTAACATCGATTAGAATTCCTATGTGAAAGTGAGTCGACATCATCTGATTTGGTTTCATGGTCTTGATGCACATCAGGATTTATTCTTATAGTTTAAACTTGGATATGTCTTTGAAACAACAATAGACTGAACTAAGGTTGATTCACACCTTATTGTGTTTTAAGACGTATAATTTGATGCTCATACTTTCATGGTTATTATTTTGCTTGCCAATTTCTTTTGGAAATAATCTATCTACTCGCAGAGACAACATTGTGTTCATTATTTTTCTCTTCCAAATCCCGTATCAATTTTGATGTATTATCACATTTGTTTTTTGCTCTTATCCTTATCAAAAGTGATAACACCTAGATGTAGAACAAAAAATAATATTTTATTTATTTCTTTATTTTTCGTTTCAGTAATCATGCGGACGAGTGGGATGCCCATATGGGAATGTATTGCCTGGGATGTAAACTCGCAACACTCTTTTACGTGTCCCCAGCACGCTTGACTTGACAGAGTGGAGGCTTAGCTGTATCATGTCCTCTAGCCTTCACACCATGGAGGGAAAACTGAATCGAATGCCATGATATAATACTCCTTCATTCTTGTCGTTGTTGAGTTAGTTGATGTGCTGACCCTTCCATTGTCTTACATAACTGCTTTTGCTCATGCTTGAATGATGCCTACCCGTGACGTGCATTAACATTTTTGATACCTTTTGTCTATTAGAAATAGACGAAAGCCAAGAAATATTTTATATTCCCATAAAATTAATGAATTTTATATTTTTGTTCATTTAATTTAATTTAAATTGGCAAGTAGTGAGGATAGGATTTTATCTCAACAATTAAAATCTTTGCATATGGTTTATTGTAATTTATTTTCATGCAAAAATTAATGAATTTATTTCTATTTGTTTATTATTGTTATAATAAAATGTTAGATATATTTACAATATAGTTATATATTTAAATCAAACTAACTAGAGATATTCATGGTTAATAATAATTAAATTTATTATTTTTTGATGCAGGTTTACTAAAGGAGGACACGTGTAATATTCAAATTTGAGAGGGCAACTATGGTATTCCAGAAGGTTGCAAGGATGTATGTGTAAAAACACCCGCGAGAACCGTTCCACGGCCGAGCGAGCACCGCAAGAATTAGACCGCACTCGGTCCGTCCTCATCTACCGACCCCACACCTCACCGCAAACCGCTCTCGGCCAAGCACCCGTGGGGGCCCACTTGTGCTCCGTCCACGTGGCCTCTCGTCCTCGGTTGGGGTACCCCTTATTTTTACTTCCCCGTTCTTCCCTGCTTTATTGCTCCTCCTTCTCTCTCTCTCTCTTCACGGCTTCTCCCGAAAGATCGGATCTTTTTCCCCCAATTCTTCTGCTCCGAGACCTCGAATTCTGACAAGAATCGGAGAATTGTTGAGGAATCGTTGCTGCTGTTGGGTGATGCGATCATGCCGGCCACGGACTTCCAGGGCTCGTCCGTCCCCTTCGCGTCCATCGGGCGCTCCATCCTGAGCATCCGCCGCGACCAGGTTCACACCGTCGACGGGCACCACCACGATTCCCCCGGTGGCGGTGCCGCCCACGACCTCGAGCTGGAGGTATTCCAGAAGCACGTCGCCGACCTCTTCGTCGACCTCGCTTCTTCTCCTCCTGCTGCCGCTGCCGCCGACGAGCTGCTCTCCCTCGCTTGGGTCCGCAGGCTGCTCGACAGCTTCCTCATCTGCCAGGAGGAGTTCCGCGTGATTCTATTCAGCTGCAGCAAGGGCCAGCGGGTGCTCCTCGCCCGGCCTCCCCTCGACCGCCTCCTCTCCGACTTCTTTGACCGCGCCGTCAAGGCGCTCGATGTCTGCAACGCCATCCGCGACGGCGTCGACCAGCTCCGCCTGTGGCGCCAGCACCTCGAGATCGCCCTCGCCGCCCTCAATGGAGGCCGGCCCCTCGGCGAGGGCCAGCTCCGCCGCGCCCGTAAGGCCCTCACCGACCTCACCATCCTCATGCTCGACGAGAAGGAGACCGCCGGCGGGTCCATCCTCAACCACCGCAACCGCTCCTTCGGCCGCTCCAGCAAGGAGACGCACCACCGCCGCACCGGCAGCGGCGGGGCCGCCGCCTCTGCTTGCCACTTCCGCTCCTCCTCGTGGAGCGTCTCCCGCTCGTGGTCCGCTGCACGGCAGCTCCAGGCGATCGGCAACAACCTCGCCGTGCCTCGTGGCAACGAGGTCTCCGCGACCAATGGCCTTGCCTTCCCCGTGTTCACCATGAGCTCGGTTCTCTTCTTCGTGGTGTGGGCTCTCGTGGCGGCAATCCCGTGCCAGGACCGCGGCCTCCAGACCCATTTCTCGGTCCCCCGGAACTTACCCTGGGCCGCATCGATCACCTCGCTCCACGAGCGGATCTTCGAGGAATCGAAGAAAAAAGACAGGAAGAACTCGTGCGGGCTGCTGAAGGAGATCCAACAGATCGAGAAGTGCAGCCGCCACCTGGCTGAGTTGTTGGATCCCGTCGAGTTCCCATTGACAGAGGAGAAGGATACGGAGCTGAAGCAGGGGGTAGAAGAGCTAGTGGAGGTTTGCAGTGCCTTGAAAGAGGGCTTAGACCCACTGGAGCGCCAGGTGAGGGAGGTCTTCCTTCGAATAGTGAGGAGCCGAACCGAAGTCCTCGAATGCCTGAACAAGTCCCACAATCCCGAGTGAATTCTGTCAAAGGTGCCATCTTTGGCCGTGATGAGGTGAGGTGGGTTTGCGTTTAGTCTTTGGGTGGGCTACCCATGCGAAGAAGGGGAAGGCAGACATGAAGAAGATGATGAACCAAATGTCTTCTTCGGGCTGGGAAGATGGAGAAGGTAGTGCTCTTGTATTTAGTCTTTTTTGTCACAGGTTGTGTAGAAAAAAGCAGGACAAAAAGCAACTTGCTTTTTGGATACTGTGTGCATCTTTGTTGTGTTCTTCTCCATCAACTTTCCTCTGTTGTGGAGTCCCCCTAATGGTGGCCATCCATGGGAATGGCCTTTTCCTTATATTTATTGTACTGTTTTCCTTGCTTCTTGTTGTTGAATACTCCTGCAAATCTCATTTTCCATATTAATTCTTCTTTTGAATACCTCTGTTGATTGGTGATAGCAAACATAATTTCTTTATTATGATTTCTGATCTAAGGAGATTATCATGATTTGTTTTGACATTTGCTAGAAATATAACAAGCAGCTGTCCTTGTGGAATTGATGATATACATAAGAGGGGTTTTCTTTTGGAGGGTTTTGACTATGCTTACTGCAGGGCAGGGCATTCTTAATTGTTTTAACTTCAAATGGCATCCAAGTACTTGATCAATGATAAGGGCATTCTTTTGCATGTGAACTATTTTCTTTTCATCTTTGTATTTTTTTTTGCTTCTTGTAAAAGCTGTGAAAGATCAAAATGACTCAGTACTGCAGCATAAATTGAACTTCCAAGAGAGGAGAGGGAGGGAGGGATTTGTCAGAAGTTTGGAGAGATTGCTGCACATGTTTTGTTTGTAGTCTCTATCAGATGTTCACTTGGTATAAATCACTTGAGATAATAGTGAATATGGGCTCCTAGTGGCACCAAGCTACATGATGTTACAGGGCATCATGCATGAAATAGAAGCTTTATCAGTAGTTGTTGTTGTTGCTCTTCTTCTTCTCTTCCAGTTTGGCTAGTGATTAATTTATTTAAAATGGGAGGAATATCAAATTGGTGCTATGTTCAGGACAGCTGTTAGTGGTTTGTATGCCAAATTTATGTGGTCAATGAAGTTCCTCTGATCTGAGTTCTACTCTGTGTTGCATTTTTGATGTTTGCAAATGCATGGCTTGCTTCATGGATGAGGATTGATATCACAAAGGGCTTATTTCCAGTCCCAGAATTGCCTATTAACTAACCTGGACCTTTGGCTAACATGAGGTTTTCTTCATTTTCCAATCTGACAGTGATAATCTATGATGATTGTGTTTTGGCCCTACACTTTGTTTTTTTTTTTGTTTTGATCTACATTGATGACTTCCCTGCAGGAGAGACAAGTGTTTTACTTGGTCAATTAAGGTAATTGATCTCTACTTGAGTTATAAAAGAAGATTGCTAAAAAATGATAAAATATAATTTTATTAAAAATTTTACTTTGACAAAGATAATGACATGCTAGAAAATATTTTTATGGTTTTTAGTATATCAATTTATAATCGATTACCATTGGGTTAAGTACGTATTATCTCCTATAGTTAAACCCTTTTAGTATCTCGGTGTTAAATTTAAAAAATTTACATTAAAATCTCTATAGTTATTAAAATAAAACATATAGTTCTATTTATCATAATATTGTCGGTGTTATCAATGAGAGTAAGAAAATAATAGGTAAAAAGATAATTTTAACATCCCAATTACGTTTTCGGTGATAACGGATGACGATACTACCGGAGGTCATGGGTGATTGTGGTGGATATATATATATATTTGAAGTATATATATATATATTTGTTATCTTTTTTTTGTGAGCAGTTACTATCAACAAATGATATTTTGTCTTGATTGATTTAGTCTCGTTGTTTTATAGCTTCTGATTGCTCAAAGATCAAACAGTTTGGATGGACACCCATGAACAGGGCCATGGTAACGTGTAATGATGGTTGAACAACATTAATAATGATGGTTGACCATCATTAAATATAGTTAAATGCATCAGTTTGTCATCTCTTTAAATTTTAAAAAATAATAGATTTTATTATTCAACTCGAGATGTTGCGTGAGATATGGCGAGAATTTCAATGACGTCCCAATTGGTCATTTGATTAATATGGATGTTGGATTTGATTTGTACGATAGAACCTCCTACAACGTTTAAATTAGAGCTCGAGAAAGATAAAATTATACGGTTTAGAAATGGTGTTATCGATAGCATGTGTTCTTCCTGATAGCATCCAAGGAAATAGAGACCAAGACCTTTTCTAGGTTAAGCCGACAAGGATGAGATGATGCTTGCATTTAAAATAAGACGTGATGTGCATGTCATGCCCATTAACAATAAAGATGCTAATCATGTCCTTGGCATATGAAATTTAAGTTTATTGAACAAAGTTTTGCAAGAATTTTGTATAAAAGATTATAAAAATAATAGGTCTGAAATCTTTAATAGGAATAGCATTAGAGAGGTCCCAACTAGGAGGAATGGTAGCATTGGAGTAAAAAAATATCATGTTGAAGCCATCAACGATAGTTTGTTCAAATGATTTATCACACCGATGAAGATTTACTGATGAAAGTAAACCCAGAAGACCAAGATTACAGATCTTGGGGAATTCCACAAAACACCAATACAAGATAACTTATGATTGTTGATCACACAAAGTTTAGAAAGAGGGAGAGCAACTCCATGACATGCACCAATATTATATCATGCTGATACAGAGCTACCTACACAAAGCATTTAAGTGTAGATAGTGGCCATAAGTAAATAGCAAAAGACCTAAAATCGCAGACTCTTCTTCTATCAAGCAAATCTAAAAGGAGGCCAAAAGAGCTTCAAAAAGGAGGCCAAAAGAGCTTCAAAAAGGAGGCCAGGAGAGCTCCAGTCTGAAGATAACCGACCATCGGTACTTTTCATCATTCAATCGATGATTGAATCACCAACTAAGAGTATCCCTTCGGCTGAAATATATGTCCTAACTTCCACACGCCATGCACGCTTCACCATTTTCTAGGGAACAAGCAACTTGTGCCAGTTTGGCTTCCACATCATCATCCTCTACTGGTTTATTAGTTTTCTGCATCCCATCCATATATGGAAATTCAAGGCCAATACACTAACATACCAGAAATAAGTTGATAATCAAAGAAACATGTGATTTGCAACTTGATGTAATTCATGAGGAACTCTAACCTGGAGCAAAGAGGTGTCAACTGTGAACTTGATTGCATCAGCGGCAGCACGTGTACGCAAATAGTACATTCCAGTCTTTAAACCCTACATTTTAATTTAGCCCACACAAGTTCCTATTCATCATACTAAATAAATAGTTTTAAATGAGCAAATTAAGATATTTAGTTGAGAGTTAAAAGATGTCACCTTAGACCATGCATAGAAGTGCAATGACGTTAACTTTCCGAAATTGGGTTGGTCCATATGGATGTTAAGACTCTGACTCTGATCTATGTAGCACCCACGATCAACAGCCATGTCAACTAGAGTCCTTTGCTTAATCTCCCATACGGTTCTAAGGTCAAAAGTCTAATTAACATATACAGAAAAGAATTTTAGACAATATGAAGAAATAATTTGCTTGTGTTATCTCACTTGTATATTGCTTTCAAATTATCTGGAATTTCAGGAATCTTGAGAATGGAACCATCATCATAAATTATCTTGTTTTTGAGTGTAGGTGACCACAGACCCATCTCAGTCAAGTCATGTAGGAGATGTTTGTTCACCACAACAAATTCTCCACTGAAAAAATTGTAGTTATCATACATGCATACTGACTGATGCTTTCAAAAATGAACAAAAAATAATATGTTTAAAGCATACCTTAGGACCCTGCGACTGTAAATGTTAGATGTGTATGGCTCAAAACATTCATTGTTCCCAAGAATTTGACTAGTTGATGCAGTAGGCATAGGAGCAATAAGAAGAGAGTTCCTGACACCATTTTTAGATATCATTTCCCTTAATGCAGACCAATCCCATCGGTCTGATGGAGTAATGTTCCACATGTCAGGTTGGAGAATTCCCTGGGAAAACATTCAATTAGAAATCTTCCAAGAGTTCAAGAAAATGATTACCATGATATAAACCTTCTGTCAAAACATATCCCTCGAGTGATAAATATAGCTTGATACAGCTAAAAGAACATTCCTTTCCAAGAGAATCCCGATTAACCATATCTGAACATGCATTCCTCCTATGTAAACTATAGTACTATAACATGCACATATTAGCCCTGCTTGCAAGCAAGAAATGCAAAATGTGGTTGCATACAGATATTGGCTATGATGCTTTGAACATTTTTTTAACAGAAAGCTTGCACCTTGAAGCAAATGAAGGAATACAAAAGAGCATTAGCTAATGAACCCAAACCTTGCTCACTGGACTTCCTTGATAAGTCTCATAAAAACCATCTTTCCTAGCAAGTTCACAAGAAGCTCTAAGAGCATGGTAGTATATGGTCTCAAATATTGTCTTGTTGAGCTGCTGAGCCTGCAGAAAGCGTTAATAATTAACAAAAAGATTCACATCAAAAAACTAAAAGAAAAAAATCACTTGGATGTCAACAATTACCTCAGGCGAATCAAAGGGCATGCCAAGTAAGATGAAAGTGTCAGCCAAACCCTGAACCCCAATTCCAATTGGCCTATGACGGAGATTCGATCTCCTTGCAGTTTCAATTGGGTAGTAGTTCACGTCAATTATTTTGTTGAGGTTCGCTGTTATTATAGCACTTACCTGCAAATAGAAGTATAGATGTTTCTTTAGGCATACTCTGGACTGTGGATGTATATATTTCATGAAAGTCTTAAAAATAGATCCTACCTCACCAAGCTTGTCAAAGTCAAAGTATCTGTTTGCCGACCCACTACTGCCAACCAGCTTGGATGGATGTGATTCTATCGGAACCCCCTGAGAGCAACTCATTAGAAAAACAAGAAATGTATTCCACGGAGTGATCTGATACCAAAAACTAGAATTCATTACTAGAACTATTGAGCAAAGATCCATGAGAACACACCTTCTCTCTGACAAACCGAGATAAAGCAATGGATGCCAAGTTGCACACAGCTGTTTCCGTTGGACTAGTGTACTCAATAATCTCTGTGCATAGGTTTGAAGACTTAATTGTGCCAAGATTCTGTTGATTACTTTTTCTATTGCAAGTATCCTACATGTGTATAAAAGCGACAACATCATGATTCAGAAAATTCTTTTTAAAGATCATGATAATTTGATCCAGTACCTTGAAAAGCATATATGGTGTTCCAGTTTCAATTTGAGATTTGAGGACCTCAAACCAAAGATTCTGTGCTGTAACAACCTTCTTCGCCTTGCCCTAAAGTTCAACAATGGAAGAAATGACTAATAATATTAATTGAAAT